TCCTTTGCAACTACTGGAGTCCCTGGGCTGGACATCAGAAATAATGCAGGTTTAAATTGAATTGGTGGACTTTTCTGACCTGGCGGTTGCTCTTTGGTTTTCAAAACTTGTTTCCATGTGCACTTTGCCCAAGTGGGCAGAAATGTGTTTCTGTGGTTTTATTTATTGCGTATGGAGTGCATATGTTATTATTTTATAATGATGTTTATTTTGTACACCATATCTAGTGCAGGTCTGTCCGTCCTGAGAGAGTGGTGCTTTCACAGTTTCTCTACCTGAGTTTAATTCCAATGTGTTCCCTTGTTTATTGGGATTTTGGTGGAGTTATTGGTGTTAGTTTCAAGGGTCAAATGAAGCAAACTTTTAACAGATGGTATTAGGCTATATATATATATTTTTGTGATTGATTTATTAATTTGCAGGCCGTAAAAGCCAAAAAAGAGCTAAAAGACGTTAACTGCAAGGGTGATAATTCTTAGTTTAAATAAATGTTTCTGCACTTCCCTGAGTAAAGACTGGCAGGCAATGTCTCCACAGGAACGGACAGCCTTCAAACTGCTGGCTGGTGGACACACATGAGATCGATCCTGCTACCTTGGCATTGGTAAATAAGCTCCACATTGAAGCTAACATGAGAGGGCTGCAGCAGATATGGCAGCTGTTCATGGTGGGGGGGTTCAGACAGGGAGGTCACCACCAAGCGAGAGAAGACTAAGTTATTCTCTGTGGCAGCGTTTCACATCCCAAGCCTAGACTCAGGGAACAGAACATTCTGATTCTATTATTCGAACTACCAGCTTCTCCCTTTCAACTCTTTAGCCATATCGTTACACCAAATTAGTAAATCAAGAGGAAGCTGATGAAGTGGAACAAGCTATTAGAAAGTCAATCAAAGTGTGGCTCAAATCTCAATCTGCTCATTTGTATCAAGGCAGTTTAATAGCTGTACATCATAGAAGCGCTCTGTGGTATTCAAGACCTTTATTGTCCCGTATGGGCACATTTGTTCTGTAGGGCAAGGTTTAGAAGACAGACTTGAAGAGGTTTGAATATTCTTAAGGGAAGCCTGTATTTGCTCTTTCTATCCATCATTAGACTAATTAGGGTTTCCATTGTGGGGTGATGATTAGAAAAATATTTGAAACTGAGACTCCTTTCTAAAAAGCCATTCCATTATCAAGCAATTCCAGTGATAAAAAAATTAGAAATGGTAATAATTTCAGAGCAAAAAATTGACAACAATAAAAAAGGAAATCACATGGTTCAATGATTTCAATGACAAGTTTCTTGATGGTGGTTCTAAATCTTCACTATATGCTGAAGATACAGTTAGCATGGGGTTATTTCAGAGCCTCAAAGTTATTGTCTTTCAACCTTTCAACACATGATCCGAAAATGAAGAAAACACTACAACATATGATCACTTTCACTGTACCCGTATGCCAAGGCAGGTTTGCCTTCACTAACTGTACGGAGGCTCAGTCATTGGTACATGTTTATTTATAAAGCCATGTTGGGTAAACTACCAACTTATATATGCTCTCTGATCTCACAGAGAGTGGCAAGTATAGCTATTGCCTGAGATCCCAGGATGTGTTTGTATTACATGTGCCAAGTTCTAGGACTGTTTTAGGTACTAAAGCTTTTATGTGTGCTGCTCCTCTAGCTTGGAACACTGCAATTATTTTTTAAACTGAGCATTTTGGTTCCCTTGCATCATTTTAAAGCTCGGATAGATGAAATGTTATTAGATATCTGTCATTGTTAATAGGTTGCTACTGTAATGTATACCCCTGTAATTATGTTGTATTGATGTCCTTTTTGTTTTCCGTTGTTTTTATGTGTAACCAATGTGCTGCAGGTCTCCCTTGAAAAAGAGATCGTTGATCTCAATGGGTTTTTCACCTGGTTAAATAAAGGCTAAAAAATAAAATAACTAAATAACTTTCTAGAAGTGATCATATTTTGTAGTCTAACTAAAATAGTTTAGGCAGAATACAAATGCAGTTATACATTTTGGTAAAAAATAAATAAACATTTAGTTTCAAGTTTGAAAGTATGGGAACTACAATTATGTTGCTTTCTTGCCTATAGTTGAAATGTAAAACAACAGCACCTATCCATCAGATAAGTCGGTTATAAGGCGGCCAGGAGCCAGTTAGCTAGCTAAAAGCCAGTTAGCTAGCCTTTTTCTGTTTGAAGGTAAAGACCCAACTACCAGCATCAATATGTGGATTTCCTCGAATGAGTTTACACTTTTTGTATGAATCATTCCAACAAGACGCATCGTGTTAATTAGCAAGCTTTGGTCAGGCAAACTGTTTTCTCAAGTCTTTATGCTAAGCTATTCTAAGCTAAAATAAGCTGCCTGACTGTAATTTAGCACTTTTTCAAATTATAAAAATTATTCATTAAACATTATTTATTAACCATTAGTAAAGCAATAATAAGTTACACACATTAAGGACACTTTATAGAAGTTGGCACTGAAAGCATTTTTATGGGGCTATTTTTTTGCGATTTCTTTTTTGTCTAATTATGTAAGCCTAAATAACAGTTAATAGGCTATACTGTATAAGTGTAGGCTGACGTTTCCATACCTCTTTGACCAACATTTCTAATGATATTATCTCTGTTCGGTTTCTACTGTCAACTAATGAGGAACTTATTCTGGAATGAGACGATGCATTTTCCTAAAACTGCATAACCTGTCAAAAGCTCAACTGTTATCTGTATCTGGTTCACTTCAAAGAAAGGTCTGTATTCTGTAGATAAAATATACATTTTCCAGCATAGGCCTATGCATATTTAAACTTTTCTATCTTCAACATTCTCGCATTAAAGGACTTTCTATTATATGCCGATCACTATTGATTTATGTCACTTTTCTTTTACTTTACAGATTTGTTTGACATCGCTGGCCACTTCATCACTTCTTCATGATTTATATTCTGTTTCTCTTTTGAAATTCAGGCTGTGGACAGTAAAGCAAAGAGAGAGAGACATCAAGGAGGAGTTCACACTGGGACGACTGGCTTTTGACTCCATCTGCTGGTCACTCACTCGGCCTCCATTTTAATATGTAGGCTATACAGTGTAGTTCTGTGAAGTAAAATAAATAAAAGAAAAGCGGTGTAGGGAATATGTAAAATAGAAGCGACTTCAAAGGAAATCATGTGCAGCAAGCGGAATAAAAATCTCAAATAAGGTCCGGCGCTAGCATCAGGAAGGAAACAGACTTGAGTGCGCTCACACTGAGCTGTCTGGCTTTTCCTCAAGTGACACTGCTGTAACCTCACAGCAGACATTACAGAGGAAGCCCGCTCTTCTCTTCCCTCCACAGTGCCCCCGCTCCCCTTCACCCGCCAACGCACCATCAAAAATGCAAAACCATGGCATGGAACCAAAAGATGAAAATGCTCACGGTGAGGGGGGATATCACAGTGGAAGAGATTAGCGCTGGGAGGGGGAGTCTTACACTCAAAGAGAGTTCTGTAATAACATAACCCCGCGGTGAGCACAGCAGGCATTTATGGATTTGTAGCAGGGGGGCAAAGTATTCCGGCAAACATGGGAAGAAACGGATACAATTAGTTAGAAATGATATCTTTCCACATGTGCTCATTAATTGACCTAAAAAAGAAAGAACAGAAAGAAATTACTGCCTGAAGAAAACAAATGTGACGCCATTACGAGCTTTGGTTCTAACAATATGGGACACTTTGAAGGAACATAACCCATTCCCAGTTGGTTAAAGTTACATTTGAGTTTTTTCAGGGAAAAATCCGTCCCACCTAAAGTAATGGATTTTAACGAGCGGTAAAAGGCAAACTGCTTTAAGATAACAGAAAGAGCACCACCTATGGGAATTACATTTCATGAAAAGCTGATTTAATGTTGTTCCTCCATTAGGCCTATAGAGCTTAGCATGTTTTGGAGTGTAAGATTTAATAAAATATTTTTGGGTTAGATTCCCAAAATAAGTTATAGCCTACCCCACTGTTGCATTTCTTAAGCATCTAGGTTGATAGCGGTTGCTAACAAAATCATTACGCCAAACATTAGCCGCCATTAGCGGTGCAACCATAACGTTTTTAGTTTATAGCCTAACGTTAGCTTTTTACTTGGGATGTCAGAAGTTTCTATGTGTCATAAAATGGCAGTTGCTAACAAGCGACTAAATGAGATTCATAAACATCACGCTGAAAATGTAGCCATTTTAGCGACTATGATGTAAGTCGTTTATAGCCTAGCGCTAGCTTTTTACTTCTGGCAGTTGCATTTGCGCTTCAACAATCATAAAAGTGATATGAGATTATCCTGCTTAACAAAAACTTTAAGAATGATAAACATGAGTTTGCAATATTTAAAAATGGAAAAATCCCATTGCTTTTTATTGAGGGAGCCGTTGCAATGTTAAAGGTCCCATGTCATGGCCATTTCTACTGATCATAATTCTATTGTTGAGGTCTACTAGAATAGATTTATATTGTTCAATTTTCCAAACTCACATTGGTTTCTCATACAGTATCTCTGTATAGTATGTGTATTCACTCTCTGTCCTAAACGGCTTGTTGGAGCTCCTGCCCCCCCTCCCCGTGAGACCACTGTGCTCTGATTGGTCAGCTCGCCCACTCTGTTCTGATGAGTCCACCACCGTTACAGCGGAACATCAGTGATTATGTGTTACAATGGCGTTAGCAACCAGAAAATGACAAACAGATGCTGCGTGGCTCGCTGCTGCGAGGAGCGGACAGTGTGAGCTGGGTTAATTTCCAAAGTGGAGTGCCATCTGCGAGGCTCCACTAGCACCCGCAACATAACTTAACTTTTTGGTCGTCAAAAACATCATCACTACCCAACTTTATGTCAATGTATATTAAAAAAAGAAAATAAAGCAGAATTAAACAATATCAATGATTTTCTGCCTTGTCTTACAAACTATATCCCAGTAAAATGCTGGCCCAAGGCATTTTTCAATGATTCAGACCAGAGCCTCGTTTAAAATTGAATGGCAATATTTTATTAAGTTAGGAAATCAACATATTTAAGAAATGTAATTATATACACTGGTTCTACTGTATGGATTTAAAAAAAGGACAAACAAAAGCTTGACACACCAAGCTCATACATGTTAAAGACATTTCACATAACCATAAATAGTGATGACTGAGCTAATCATGTGCCGTAATCTCTCAGTATTTATTTGTTCACATCAAAAAAAAAAAAAAAATCAAGAACACGGTCACTGAACTGTTCTTAAATATCTTAAAACTACACTATAAAATACATAAAGCATATCTACCATGTGTTCCATGGGAAACAAAGAAAAGGCAATGGTATAAGAAATAATTTCTCATGAAATAGTGGTAAGCTTTAAAATAAACTTTCAAGCGATTTCATCAGTAAGGTCATTTACAACAGGTAAAAGAGGCAGGGGTTTTACCATTAAAGCAGGCGAATAACTCTATCTACTTTGTTCAAAATATACAGAAAACGACATTGGTGCAAAACGCTTCAGTCTGAGCCGCTTAGTGGCACAGACCACGTAAACAACTGAGCTGAAATTCACAGGCTGTTAAAATGGGTTGTACAGTAGTGGCCTTTGTGATCCAGTGTGTAGTGACTTCAGTGAGTGACAGTTCCTCAGTGCTCCTCCTTGTCCCGCCCCTTCTTGTCCTTTTCGTCCTGCAGCGCGGTGCCCAGCTTCTTGATGAGCACCGACAGCACCTTGTCCAGCGGGTCCATCACCCCCCTCTGCAGCCACTTGGGAATTGTAGTCCGGGCGTGGTGGAAGCCCAGTTTCTGCAGGATGTAGTCCACACCCACCGGGTCGATCTTACGCCCTGTCCAGGAGATGAGCCTGAGGAAAGAAGAAGGAAGGGTTCAGTTTAGGCCCTTTATCTACTTTTTCTGGCATAAATATATATAAAAAACCGTGTATCTTGACAACGTATCGCTGCTGTTTTAAGGCGGATTAGCTTCGCCCCATGCCTTGAATCCATCAATTTGGGCTACCCTCTACTCGTATTTTCATCATGAACACCAACCAGAGGATGCTTGCCCTCACTCTTTGTAGGACTAAGCTGAACTGCTACAGAGATAAAAGTAGAGCAGTCACCGTTGGCAACATCCAGGTCCTATCTGCTCAAACAAACAGGCCTTTCAGTCTTTGGTAGTTTCTGTGTGAACGTCACAAACAAAAGCTAGCTTTTGTACAAGTGCGTTCTGAACGTAAAGTGCTTAGAATGGCCGGACAAAAATGTCTCAGAGGCGCTCAGCGGAAAGACGCTAGGTAATTTCTCAATGGCCCCGTTTTATGGCTCTGTTATTATTAGAAACCATTGTAAAAGAAACGCTGTGTGGTCCTTAGTCAACTGTAAATGCAACTAAGAGTATACTGTGTGGTAAAGTGTTTAAGAATACAGAAACTCATTTGGTCTTTACAAGTTTACAAAAGCAGGTATGTAGCATTATGATACTTCACCTAGTTTGTTATTATAAAATGTTTATAATGTGTAAATTATTGATTTAACGCATTATAAATAGTTATTAGTGATTAACATTGTGCAGTACTTTAAGCAGATAACATGTAGACTCTATTAAGTATTAAAGACATTAGTTTCATAAACCAAAATTGGTAGTTAGTGTAAAAGAAAAGTAATTATAATTTTGTGGTCTGTGTTTTTTTGTATCCCAAAGTCCTTTCAAAATCCTTGTTCTGTATATTACGATATGCATGGTGAGTCTGTGCGTCATTGTAGCAACACGGTCATAGAGACTGACGCTGACGAATGCTCCTTCCTGTTGTTCCTCTGCAGCTCTGAATGAGCTTAATTCACGTCATCAGTCCTTTAACCAAACAAAGCCCTCCACTCCACTGACCTGAGGGTGGGCTCCAGGTGCCAGGTGTTGCACATGAACTCCCTCCAGTCCACCGTGGTGTAGTTGATGCCGTCGTCTTTGTCCAAGGAGCCGTCGTCGTGCAGGGCGGTCGGGCTCTTCTGACCGGGGCGGGTCGCAAACATCCGCGGGGCGAACAGGGCTGGGGGGGGGTAAGAGAGGGGGGTGAGGTTAAGCTGCTTCAAACAGGGCACACCACAATACAGTAGAGGAGTGAGTTCTTCAACCTGGGAATGAGTCAGCATTTTACCACTTCAGGTTCCCTGGTATGGAAGTCTGTGGTTAGCACAAGCTAAGGACATTTTAATGATTTGTCCTACGACATTAAATGTATCAGTGAATACTCGACTCTTGAATGTCTGAAGCTTCTATGTGTCATAAACACACATAGAAGCTTGGTTATAGCTAGCAACCCATAGCAGGCCGGTTCGAATCCCGAAGCAGGCCGAACAATTCAGGCAATGTCCTCTCCCGTCTCCCCCTTTCTACACAAAGATCTCCAATAAAGGCCATCTGGCCCACAAATACCTTTAAAAAAACCCCGCAATAGCTAACATTACATGTCACTTGTTAGACACTTTTACCCAAAGCGACTTAGTACTGTGGGCAATCCTGACAGGAGAAATATGGGGTGCGACATGCTGACTGCAGTGGGATTTGAACCAGTGCACCACTGATCCAATATCAGCGCACTAAATCACTGAGCCACAACTTCCAGCACCAACATCATCACACCAAAAATGTGCCGCTTTTAGCTTAGCGACTGTTATGTAGTAATAGCCTAACGTTAGCTTTTTACTTCTGGCAATGGCATTTACGCTTCAAAAATCATAAAGTGGTGTTATAGAGTGGTGCAGTGATGAAGTATTTTTGTAGGCCAACCCGTAAGTTAGCATTGCAAGGGCTCCCTTGACAAAAAACTAAGTACATCATCATCGTGCAGCTAAAGGCGGACTCTTCCGGGCATCATGCCGTTTAGCAGTTATTTTAGTCACCTGTTAGCAAGCACACATTTTATGAAATATAAAAGCGTCAGACATTCACGAGTGGAGTATTTACTGACATATTTTATATTGTAGAACCAAACATGAAAAAATCTCTTAAAGGTGGGGTAGGTAATTCACTTCAGAAACACTTTTTGTTATATTCCATGGAATGCTCTTAACATCCCGATAGCAATGAATATATTAAGTACTTTGACAAAACCATAAATAAATGTCATCTGTGGAAGCCGTAGTAATGTAAAAAGCACGACCAATCATCTGAGCCGGCCCGGCTAAAATAACTGGATGGCATAACTGCCTGTCAGCCTTCCATCTGTGCACAAACTTATCTCGTGCCCTCATTGGTCATGTGCGCGTTCGTGTGTGTTGGAGGAGGGGCTCTGTAAGGAAGTGGCAGATTTTTTCCGGTTGTGTATTTCCAAATTCTAGCGCACTCGAGCTGGTTTCTCCAAAATTACCTTAAGATTAAGATCTTTTTTCAAGCGTCTAACCATAAACACGTTAAAAAATGCTGACTAATTTCCGGGTTTACCACTTGTGTTTTATACTACTCTGAGTGGAGACATCCTGCAGAACAAAACGTGTAAGTGTGATAAACATGTGTTTGCAACTGATTTTATTTTCTGCAATATTCAAAAAATATCTTTTGTCGATGGACGCCTTGAGATGCTAACTTCTGGGTCGGCCTACATTATTTCCTCATCCCTACACCACTCTACACACATTCATGAATGTCCCTGAAGGCAGCCGGCACCTTGATGGTACAGATCTCGACTCTATTCAAACGTCCTGCTCTAATGAATCCAGACGGATCAAACTGATGGAATATCTCGCCTCCTCTCCCTCTCTATTCAGCAGCAGATTCAACAGAACAAAGTCACGGCACCACTCTAATTGTCACGAAGAATGTGAGCTCGTCTGCATAATGGCTGCTAATTTGTTCCTCCGTGACAATGTAGAGGCCATTAAAATGCTGCCAGCACTGGGCTCTCTGACCACCCCCCCCCCATACTGTTCGTAAAGACATCTTTCAGCTGCCTTAGTTTCCTGCCGCTCTACAAAATGTGTCCGACAGCACTCAAACGGCTTCACAGGGACAGAAGCAGACGTATGTGCTTTATATTGTTATCTCTCCTTGGACTGACGACTCATTTCTATCCTCACTTTCTAATGGAACTAGTCCTTGCTCATGGAGATGTCACAGAGACTGTGGATGTCTTTTCACTGACTGGAAAGGTTAAAGGGATTGTTCGGATTGTTTGAAGTTGGGTTTTATGAGGTCATTATCCATAGTCAGTGTATACAATAGAAACAGACAGGAGTAGCAGGAAGCAGTGTACTACTGTGGCCTATAATGAAACAGTTATATACGCTTTTTAAATAACTCCATTCCTATTCTACTGCTGTCTTGATTGGTTAATTTGTTAGTTATTGTGTGACTTAGTTTGAATTCATCGCAGTTACACAATTGGTTAGTTTGGACAGTTCCACCGATCGAGGCAGCAACCCGTTTGTTCTTCCAGGTCAAATGTGTGTTTTTGTCGATGGAGTCTGGTGGTTTGTAAAGAGCAACATAACAGCCGTATACGGCGGGGTTCGACCCTCCGCTTCGCGTCGGGCCGAACCACGCCCCTTAGCTGTGATATAATGAGCATATACCACGGCCTGTCGTGAGCTATTGCTTAAATGACCGACATCTGAAATTCGTGCTCCACTTATAATGTTCGTCTTAAATATATGTAGAAATATATATTACACAGTATTCATGTGTTAATAAGGCCAATGTTTGTTGATAAAAAAAGCCCAAGCTTGAAATACCAAAACATTTTGTAACAAAATGAAAATAATTAGAGCCTATGGTGAGCTGTGATGTAGTCTGTTTTCTTTCTTTAAGCATATTCAATTATTATGAATAATTTACCTACATTTAATTGATTTAGCAAAATTATAACTTATAAAAGTCATGACATGTGGCCCAGCCCTCTGTATGTTTCTCTGTATGTGGAACTCTGCACTATATGATATTGATATTTGTAGGTGTCTTAAATATGTTCTGCTGCTGCCCCCGCCCTCCACAGGACATTGTTTGGCTTCCGCCTGTTTGTTATTACCAAATCAGGGGCATGCGGACCCTCTACTGCAGGTTACACTCACTACTGGAAAGGATCTGATAAAACCCCACTTCCAACAATCCCTCTAAGTAATGAATGAATGATGTGAAACCTTTCTCCTTCTCCTTCAGGTATGCAGAAACCAGGTCGTGAAGGAACATGATGAGCTCGGCGTCCATGGTGACACAGATGTGGTCTGTGAATTCCGTCACCACGCTGCACTCCACTTTGGGTTTGCTGTCTGTGTCTGGTAAAAAAGAAAAAAAAAGATCTGAAGCAGAGACAAACCATTGCTTCTCAGACTCAACCTTCTTCAAAACCGTTAGCATTAGCGTTAGCAAGCTTGATATACTCGGGTTGAAAGATAGGGTTAGGTTGAGTTGAGTTTATAATTAAGTGTACACAATTAGTATAACATATGGTCATGGGGACTGTGGTTTTTGTTAAAGAGGAAAAAAGGAAAACGCATTTTTTTTACAGATAAAATATTTTTGTTTATGTGATTCTGCCGAGGTCATGTTAGTCAAGGGCAACCTTTTCCACAATATTTGCTGACTCATGTTATGTAAATGTATGTGTGACCTTCAAAAGACAAAATATGTTATCATGCTCCATTTCATCACCTGTTAGCGAAGGTTCTTCAGGATCCTGTACGTGGATTGACTTGAAGTCCAGTTGCATTCTGGGAAGAGCAAAGATGGTCTCCGTCTCGTGGTTGTAGCTGGAGGAGCTGCGGAAGCTGCTCAGCAGGCTGGAGCTCTTGGCAGCCGCTCCGCCCTCCTGGTTGTTGGCCTCAGCGTTCCTGAGCAGGTTCAGCTCTGAAACAGGAGATAAGACGTGTGGAAAGTCTTTAAGGTCATGTTCACACCGCTCTGCTCCAATGCTTTGTGAAATACTATCTGCACCTGCTTTACATGGTAGATAAGCAGCTGCTCGCAAAGCCAGACAGAAACGGAAAGAGAAAACGCTGTGTCTGTCTTCTTTAAGTCAAAGCTGTCTGAAGTTGAGAAATGCTTAAAGTTTGAGAAGCTACTACAATGAAGCAGCCATTTACCTCTTAATGAGGTTACTCGAGATAAAGCGAATGCAGTTTAAAGCACTAACCGTGCATTCATTCTGATTTCATAAAGGTTAGAATGTTTTATATCTTAGATAGGTGCTGATTTACATGTGCTGTTACAGAACTCTACTGTATTATATTTTGATATCAACAAAGGTAGTGAGTACGCACTAAAAACATGCAGTTTGTTTGATAAGGGATGCGCAGATCTCCAGAGGATTGATATTGCCTCCACTAGTGGTGCTGGAATGAGTCCAAAAACCCAGGAATGAGTTAGCATTTTAGCACTGCGGTGCTCCTCGTTTCAAAGTTTATGGTTTTTAGTTAGAAGCCTGAAATAAGGTCTTTGCTTAACACAAGTTTAAGAGATTTTTCGACCTCGATGTAACTCGTTTTGTAGCCTAATGTTAGCTTTTTACTTCTTAAGATTGCATTTACACTCAATAATCCAAACATGTGACGATTATCCTCTAGAACATAAACAATGTAAATATCATAAAGGTGTGTTTGCCATAGAGCTTATTTTATGCAATACTCTGAAAACCAATGGCATAAAACAGGGGTGCCCAACCAGTCGATCGCGAGATGTGTCTAAACATAGAACAACAATATTCAGTTTTATCGTTAATGTCCTATAACATAATCTTCCTGTGCCAGAATAATGCACTTGAACGCATCAAAGATTTGTGATTGGCTGGCGTGACCGCATGTGTCGGGGCGTGGCTGGTGGGCAGTGGGTACCATAGATATATAAACACTAGATGACTCACACGCGCTGCTGGCCAATGGAGACCGACGGTACTCGTCTCTACAAGGGACGAGACACGACATATCGAATAACCGCAAATAGCGAATTACAATAAAGGCTTCCTTGGTACTCATAATTCATACGTCATAGTATTATGTCCCCCTAAATATTTTTTCTTTTTTGCAAACTTGCCCCCAACTTTAACTCGTTCGATACCACATAGAATTTATCATCTCGCGTATCTACAATAACTTCTCTCGGTGACGGGCACATCGTTCTACCGCCG